GTATCGTACACTTTAACACCTGCATCATTTGCCCAAGCAATGAGACTTGTTCTCCACTTCACTGCATGTATAGGACCTTCACCAGAGTGCAAAACCTAGACATACATTGCCTTAAGAAATTAAAAACATACTCGGAAATCCTTTTAACAGGCTATAAGTATAATTTTAGTACAAACCTGATCTTTAAAGCCCAGCCATCTTTTTGTATTAAAATATAAATGACCAGCTAAACCACCAGCTACGAATCTTCTAGATGATTTTCTTGCATAATCTGGGTCTAGTGCAATAGCCTTCATTGGGCGATGATACTCAAACTTCATTTTCTCATCAGTGAAAAGACTATTTATTACAACAGACCCATCGTCTGAACAGCTTCCTATAAATTCACCTTCTATGTCGAAGCTAAGATCATTCACTGCAGCAGTATGAGCAGGGAATTCCTTAACCTGTAAAGAAGCCAATCAAGTACATGATATTGGCATATTGCCTTCAATGATAAATCAGGCGCAAAATGCAACAGTATATCAACCTTAACTGATATAGCGTATTAACACCCATACCACAAAATATTTAGTATGGACAGCGGAATATAAGAACTGTGAGTTCAAAAACTACCTACAGACATCCCAAAGAAATCATCTTTGCAAACAATGCACAGATATTGCAAACTACCTACATTGCTTGTCAAGGTTAAACTTTGCATTCTCGAATCTATCGCATAGGTAATTTACCCATCAAACAATAAATGTTTTGAGTGATGGATTTTAGGACAAGTAGAGTTAAGTCACCCTACAAGAAGTATAAGTTCACCATAGTTGAAAATTCAATTAACACGCCAACGTCTGAACACGAAATTAAGAACAGGAAAATCAAAAGAAAAAACTTTATAACCCCTGCATATAATTAACCAAATGAAATTTAACTAAAGTAGCTTTCTTTTCCATTTCCATTTGAAGCTAATTGCGAAAACCCCATTGACCATCCCAAAACTAAATGCAACTGGGTTAAAACCCGTACATTCAATTCCCAGTAAAACAGTGAAAATTTCAAAATTACCAAGAAACCCAGATCCAACCAGCTCAACTTCAATCCACAACCTACCAAATCCCCACGAATCGCACTAACCTACCGGTCAATGCAATAATCCCAACCACGATCATTCGAAAGACGAAAATTGAATTGAATTCAAGCTCAGTTCCTCACCTGATTTCCGAGAAAATCTAGAATCTGAACGGTGCCGCCGTGAGTCCCGAGCGCGATCATTCGTTCCGCGACGGCGATACAGGATGCCACGTCAGTAGCCAACAGCGTGGGAATGCTACCTCCCATTCGCTGGTACTTGAGCCTCGGTTCCTCCTCTTCCTCCTCCTCCTCTTCTTCCTCTTCCTCTTCTTCTTCCTCCTCGCCCTCTTCCTCTCTCTCATCGTCTCCTTCGACGCCGTTATCGGGCGGAATCGGAGCCATTGTTATGTACGTCTTCAGCTCTTCTCGTGGTTGTTCCGTCGCCTCGGAGACACAAAGGTGGAAGAATGATTGAGTTGAGAACTGGGAGAGAGATCTGTTTGGTTTGAGTTTCTACTTCCGAGGTATATTAATTTCCAAGGCGACAAAAGAGGGCCGCAGTTCTGCTGTCACCAACTTGGTGTCTCTTTCATGTCCCCTTTCTATTTCATTGACACGTGTTCTCCTACTTATCCGGTAAACGTGTTAGGTCTTATTACGCAATTGGGTTCTGACCGCAGGGTAGAGTGGTTGTCGACTGCCGACTAGATTTTGCGGGTAGCTTATTCATTGGGCGTGTTGTCGCTGTCGTGTTCTCTTGGACTCCCATTTTGTGGTTTATTCTTATATTAATTTATTTTGTTTAAGACTTAACACAATTAACAGTTCTGTTAAGTAGAATGACACATGTCGACCAAACAGAAATAAGACATGGATGAGACATAAAATTGGGACAGCAAACCAGCGGCCACAAAAGAGTAGTGATGGAACTCGATATGCGCCACCGGTATAGAATGTCATTTTATAGTATGTTATGTGTTGAGTCGAAAATTTTGAGTTTGATTCTTATAGACAATGAGTTGGAAATTTTGAGTTTTAATACAGATATGGATTGATAAGAATTAACACGTGGACATAAGGAACTCAACAGGCGAAATGCCCTCCAAGAACACGTCGGACTATAAGCTCACGATTGGATTCACATTAAATACTTAAAGGGTGGCCTCAATAATCTCACTTGATATAGAAGACACGTCTGTTAGACTCATGTGTGAGATATTGTAATCCAACTTACAAACCATTTAACTCAGCAAGTTACTGGGCTTAGATGACTTAAGGGATTTTTTACCTAATTAAAAATTTGATAATCAAGGAAATTATCTACTCCATCCAACTAGTTTTTGGTTCAAATCCCGGAAACACATGATGTATTCCGACGAAATGATATTGATTTTAGGAGGACTAGCAAAGTCTGAACTCCTCTACAAACATAGAAAGGCCTCATAGAAAGATAAGCCCAAAAAGTTGAAGAATAAATGATCTTGCTGGATCATAGATGTAACACCTTAACAATTTAAATATATAAAATATAATATTCATAATTATGAATATGTGGAGAAAATAAAAAATAAATTGATTTATGGTCAATATTCTAAAAGACGATAGGCGCTAGTCGGGCGACGGGATGAATCCTAGCATCTAGGCAGACTAGGTGGATTTAAGTAAATTTGTTATATATCATATAAATTTATTCAATTTATTATATAATATGTAAATAACATTGAATAATATGTTAAAAAAATTTTAAAGAAAAATACACATGTCTAAAATTTTAGACTTATTTTTTAGTTTTGTATCATTATCTAAGCCATTAATTTTGTTGGGCCTTTATTTTAATTAACAAAATGCAAGATTGGGCTTGTTTTAAATTTTGAATAGGATCCTAACAAAATACCCCAAGGCTGTCTAACCCATTTATCCTATTAAAACATAAAATTAAGGACACTTGTATTTATGGGTGAAATGACCATCTTAGTCACCGACTCACCTCTAGAAAAAAAATCCTAACTAAAGCTGCTCGCTTCTAGAACCATGGCCGCCGTCAGCATATCTGCAATTGCAGATGCATTCTCTCTCTCTCTCTCTCTCTCTCTCTCTCTCTCCCCTCTCGTATACCGTCGTCACATTGAAACTCGGTTAGACATGACAGTGAGACCCGGAAAGACAAGACGGCGAGACGCAAAGCGCCTAGATTACCCAATGTTCGACTACTTCTGGGTAGGAATTTGTATTTTCCCATGCCGCCCAGATCGTCCAACTTCCTTCTCGCCCGCCTAGCGTCCGTCTTCCCACCTAGGCGTCCGCCTTACGCCGCCTAATTGCCTTGCTGATTTAATAAACGATTTCGGGTTAATAGTGGCGGAGCACTGCAGTCTAGCACCTCGGCGCCATCTAGAGAACACTGTTTATGGTTATGAAAAATTTAATTGAGGATTTTTAAAATTTTGTTGCCGGAAATTATTATAATTTACGTATTTGTATTATTGAGATTTTATATTATTTTTTTAAAATTTATATTAATTTGTTTGAAATTAGTTTTAAATTAAACTTTATCTCTCCATTTCTGATGTGACAACTCCCCATTTTTATTAATTGTTGTCCTATCAGATTGTGCCACAAAATATTTTAATTAATAAGAAATAGTGTATTACTCAATCAATACTTACTTTTTTATACAATATATTTGACACCATTTTTTCTGTTAAACTTCACTATAAATTCATACAACATTTGAAAATATTTCATAAAATACTACGAACTTCGTAATCACTTGAACTTTCATCTCATATCATCAAATTTAGTGCAATACTAGAGCAAAAATTTTGATATTTTTTTGTATGTTATATGTTAAATAATAAACCTAATTAAATAATAAATCCAAATTCTCAATACAAGTATAATTGTTTAAGTGTAAATGGATACTTATTTATATGTAAATTTACTTAAATCCGTTTAGTCTGCCTAAGTCATATCTAGAAGCATAGGTGCTAAATCCCAACCTGCCGCCCGTCTAGCGTCTAGCTACCTTAATTAGGATTATCCGATGTTAAAATACTGGATCTACCACTAGTTGTAGGGACACAAAAATAATTATATGTTAATGTGTACTTAACATTTTGGATTCTTAAAATCACCAAGCCTTTTAGTATCATTCTAAATTGGTCTCAATCGTTTGATCATGCCAAACAAATATCTAATCTATTAAAAATGTCATACATGTTAAGTCCCAGTTAAAATCTATTAAATTTACTAGAGGTTACTTTGTCTTTGAAATCAATAGAAGATCATGTAAGCAAGCATAGCCTCCACTAACTAACAGTCACCACCACCCCCATCGTGACATCACCTATAAACCCAACGCAAAACCACCAACTCCATCCTGCAACTCAAGCCGCCAACATCAAGAACAATGTCATAAAGGTTGTTGAAATAGTATGGACTGTCATGATTTGGTTACCACCATCTTCACCACGCAAATAAGAATTGGAAGCTTTATGAGTTGAGAATCGGCTTATGAGGAAAACACATGAGCAGAAAAAGCTCCTTGAAAGCCTATATGAAATCTTAACCCTCTCTTTTGTTAGAAAATTGTCATCCTAATATAATTTCAATTGTGTTTCATATTGTATAATCTATGTTTGAAATTTTGATTTTAAGGCAACTAATATCAATGTTGACCATGATATACCCATTTAGTAGGTTTTGAATATAATCTATGTTTAAAAAATTAATTGAGACTTAATATTTTTAATAAGTTGGTTATTTGTTTAAAATATTTAAAAAGATTAAAACCAATTTAGAATGACGCTGAAAAATTCAAATGTTTTAGGTATTTTACTTCCAACGAACAAATTATTATTTTAAACATATACCGTACAAACGCGTGGTAATGGATTTTAATCAAACATTAATATTACTGGATTAGTCTCGCAACAACAATTAAGAATAACAAGATTAGCCGATGAGACTGAGAGACCTCCAAGTCTACAAAAGCAACGACAATTCCTCCACACCCACACAGAGTCGCAGACTCACACTGAAACCATCAGATCCAAAACCGCGATCGCAGCTCCTTCCTGCAATGGATTTTGCACCGCATGATCTCGGAGGTTCGAATTGAAATGCGGCCGAACCTGTCTCCCTTCGGCAGCGTTTTGGCGAATCCGTTTGTGTTTAATGGCGATTTGAGCGAGGGCTTTGAGAGCCCTGGGGTTTTGTTCTTGGTCCCGGTTTTGCTGTTCCAAGGTGGTGCAATGGATTTGTCGAAGGTCGGCGAGAAGATTCTCAGCTCGGTTAGGTCTGCCACATCGCTCGGCCTTCTTCCTTCTGCTTCTGATCGTCCGGAGGTGATTGAAATTTCGGTTTTTGCAAGTAATGTAGCTTTCTGGCGCTCCAATTTGATGCGTTTCGCGTATAGTTATGTGAAATTCGCTTGTTTCCGAGTGACTGCGAGTTGAGTATTGTAATTAGATCATATAATTTGATAATGTTTCTTCCAAGTGTGTGAATTTTGCTTTACATACTGAATAAGAGTTTGTTTTGAGTGATTATCTGCGGTTTCGTGGTGATTAAGAACAGAGTTAAGTTGAATAAGTATCATTTTAAGAGCAATGCGTATTAATATGACAGTAGTATTCAATTCACCGTTAAATAGGGATTACAAGTGTTGTGCTTATTGCAAAATCTAGCTGCTTGGTGCAGGGGTACCGTTTATTTTCTGTCGAAAATGTATTCATGTTTTGTTTATCTTCTCTGACAGGTTCCTGCACGAGCTGCGGCTGCTGCAGCTGTTGCTCGTGCGATTGCTGGACTGCCTCCACATCAAAGGTTTAGTCTCTCATCAAGCTCAGAAGAATTGATCTCAATATATGGAAGCAGACATCACGGTCAAGAAGTGGAGGAGACAGAGGAAGAATTTTATGAAGAGGTGCTACTATTAATTATGTTTTTAATTCGGTAGCCCTTATGACTTGTAGTTTGTTAATGTTAGGTTATTTAGGGAGTTACCAAGTCATTTTCCATGTTTCAAGTAGTAGAAAGGTTGCAAACGGTAGCTTGTAGCGTAGGAAATAGTTTCTTGACAACCACCAGAAGAAATGCCAACTGTGTTCCTGTGATAGTTTCTCAATTGTAAAACGTTTGCATCAATCAAAAGATTAGCCCTCATGAGATTTATATTCGGTGGGAACTTTGGTGTTGCACGTGCTATTGGTAGCTCGCATATGTAGGAGATAATTTTTCTTAACAACCAGAAATGATATATTTTCAGTTATTTGGCCAATGATATTTTCATTTATTTGGCCAACTGTATATTCATTTTCTTAGTTGTTATTATAAGAAGCTGTTTTGAAATATTTAATCCGGTCAGAGGTAGTCGGAAAATCCATATTGTAACATTATGCAGTTGATGACAAAAAGGAGCTAATCATTTGGATTCACTCTCTCCAACCTTATAAATTATTCTACGTAGTCCAATTATGTATTCTCCACAGTACAGTTATGACTTATGGACTAGTGATAATATAAGGTGTATGGTAAAGGAATTATTTATATCATAATTCTTTCACTCCTTTCTCTTTCCTTGCTTTCATATGTTATTTGGACCCTTTATCTTTCAACAAACTTGCAGTTAGGTCACAAACAAAATGAAGGAACCATTTTTGTGGACTTCATGCTATCATTAAGAGCACTGGCTATAATTATTATTGTTGTTGTTGTTGTTGTTATTATGTTTTCATTGGTAATTTTATGCCTTCTCTTTCACTCTAATAATACTTGATACCGCTTCCACTTCTTGACTGAGTGTTTATGCCATGGTTACTTTTTCTGTGTGGATTAAATTTGAATCATCTGCTTAAAAGCTTTGTAAGCACTTCTTATATGCAGGACTTTGATCCAGTTAGACGTATTTTGGAGCATATTCCATCTGAAGAAAGTGAGCTGGCTTATTTTGAGAGACAGGTGATTTTCCAGTTTCTCCATCTTCCTCTTAGCTAACATATTCCAGTTTCTTCATTTTGTTCAGCTTGTACGGTAGTCTTTTGTTTCCCTGGTTGAGGATTGTCCTCAAAGTTGTCTTTTTCATATTTCAATGGACAATTCTGATGTTAGCAGTAGTCCATTGTTTTATCAAAATTTTGCATAATTGAGTTAAATGTCCTGTTTTCTTGAACTCTTTGTTTCAATCTTATTCTAGAATGTTTAATAGTTTTTCGTATGTTTGTGGCTAGGTAGCATACATGTGATGCCAATGTCATTGGGAAATTCTTTACACGTTTGGGTGTTAATTACATATATACGTTACTATTTGGATGAATCCATCTACTAATCACGGTTTTGAACCAATCAATGCTTTTCATGGGCCTATTTGTGTAGTCATGCCTTCATTCTCTATTATTGTCAGATTCGTTATTAGGGTTGAATTGAAACAGGAAAATTGTTATGAAATAAATGAGTCTATACCTTGCAGCAGTTGTGGCATGTTTAATTGTTTATTGACGATTCTTTAGGATTTGTGCATCCGTAGCCTTTCATTCTTGTCTGATATTCATACTTCCTCTGTTACATCACGAGCACTTAAATGCAATTGTCTTTCTTTTGTTTGTGTTTCCACTTTTTTTATTGACCTTGCACATTTCACTTCTCATGATTACATGTCCTTGTAATGCTTACGTTGCTGGCTGAAACCCGTATCATATGAGTTTAATAAATAGCCATAGTCTATTTTTGCGTGCTTGTGGCATGGTTAGTTGAAGTGTAATAATCAATTCCATTTGTTAGGTTCTTTCAACCTCTTATTTAACAATGTTATCTACCATCTAAACTTTTTTTTTTTTTTTTTGTAGGCCACTCTTAGATTGGCCCAACTGGATAGAGTAGCTGAACGTTTATCCCGCAATGTTATGGAACATCACGAAGTAATGGGTGAGTTTTAATCAAAATGTCTAAACCTTTTCTGCAATTGTATTGAAGTACATTTAAGGAAGTATTATACTGCATGGCCTTCTAGAAAACTTGCCTATATAAGTTATTGAAATTGTGCTTTAAACTCCTCAATAGTGGCTTGGAATATGGGAATACTTTTCCTCACCCCCTAAAATGGGGGTGATGCTCACCACCTGATTGGTTGCTGTTGGATTAGTTTAAATTTCGAGATTCGTGTCTTAGATCAATTTAACCAAATTAATCTAACGGTAACCAATCAGGTGGTGAGCATCACTCCCACATTGGGAAAGAAGGGGGGGGGGGGGCGGCGGTGGTGAGCCAGCAAGAATTGAAATATCACAACATTTGTTTCCAGGGTGGCAGAGTAGTTGCGTAATTGTTTATTCAACGCTATTCTCTCTCTCTCTCTCTCCGTCTTTCTTCGCTCTAGTGCTCTGGCTAAACAATAGTTCAGTGCTGAAGTTTGATTTACAATATATTTCAGTTTCAATTGAGATGTTGACACTTACTTTTGGCCAGTGAAGGGGATGCATTTGGTCAGGGAATTGGAGAAAGACTTGAAAGTTGCAAATGTCATCTGTATGGTAAGCCCTTGCAGGACGTGCCATCCAGAATGGGGTCATTCTGAATTTTCATTATTTGATATAACTTTTTTTTTTTGTCAAAACTTTTTTATATGGGCTTTTTTGTCAAACTCCTTTTATATCTGGCTTTTATTTACAGTTTTTGTAATTGTATTTGCAGAATGGAAGGCGGCATCTGACCTCATCAAGGAATGAGGTTTCTAGGGATCTCATCGTAAATTCCAATTCCAAAAAGAAACAAGCTCTTCTGGTATGTTCATTACTCTGTGCATGGTTAGCAGTAAATCTTTATTAGACTTTTTTCCCCTGGTTTCTAGGGATCCCATCATATAGTCACTTCGATAGTTCTCGTTGCATAAGCATAACCCTACCTATACGGTGTCCTATTTTTATGAAATCCAGGACATGCTTCCTGTTTTAACTGAGCTTGGCCATGCACTGAAAATGCAAGCAGAGCTTGAGTTTCTGGTTGAGGAAGGAAATTACTGCAAGGTGGGTTCATATATCTGTTCTGCAGTTTATACTATACTCCAGTTTTTGTTTCATGTTGCATTATAATTTTTAACTATTTGGTTAAATTCTCATGTAAATCTACAGGCCTTTCAAGTCCTGTCTGAATATTTACAGCTGTTAGATAGTTTTTCAGAACTTTCTGCAGTACAAGAGATGAGCCGTGGTGTAGAGGCAAGTATTAAGCAAGCATTTTTTTGTTAACAGATTCACTGGTATTTCATGTCTCTGTGCCTCAATATTTTTGACCGTGGATTAAAAAATATAAAATATAAAAAAACTGTTGGCCCACATCCTAATAAGCTATGGGAGTAGAGTGGTCAACCAGCCAATTGTATCATGTTACTAGAGCAGGAGATCTTCAGTGCAAGTCCTTCCAATTGGAACCTTCCCACCTCCCAATATTAGTCTTTTTTTATATAAGTGATTGGGAGAGGGAGAGGAAAAGGGGGGGGGGGGGTGTGGAAGGAAGAGAATCAAGCTTGAGACCTTAGGTGCAGGGTGGTTGCTCTAGAGTCTTAACCAACTACAAGCCCCTTGCTGAACCTCCCAATATAATTTGAGTTTCACATGTTGGGATGTCGTGGTGGATAGAGACCCACATGGGAGGGGCATTTCAGAATATAGAATAATCATGAATTCTTGCCCTGCATCCCATCGCTTAAGTTTTGGGTAATACAGGTAAACCAAGAAACATTATCATGCTTACATTGTCTTTTTTCCTAACATGGGTGCAGGTTTGGCTGGGAAAAACTCTTCAAAAGCTGGATTCCTTGTTGCTAGGAGTGTGCCAGGAGTTCAATGAGGAGGGCTATACAACTGTCAGTGCTTTTCTTTCTCTCTTTCTTTCGTTTATTTTCCTGAGAACTGGATCATTATTTTCTCTCAAATGCTGCTTGAAGATTTTTCTATTGAGTGTTAAACTGTGATTACATGTGGTTGTTCTTATATTACATATATTTCAAATAGCTTGATATCCTTTTAAGTGGTCATTATCCTTTTCGCAATGATGAGGTGATACATCATGGATACAGAAGTACCATGGTTCAAGTTTCTGTAAAGATATCTGCTGTCTTCATAATATTTAGTAATATCAGTACCATATTATGTACACAAGAGGGACGAATCAACTAGTAAGTGAAAGTAGTATTTTTAATTCTCTATCTACGTTCTGCTCCTGGCAGTCTGATCCAATCATGTATTGAAGTGATATTATGTCTGATTCTTGAGTTAATATTATTTTGCTCTCCGTTTGAGTAAAGGGTTTATGTTGATTACTCATAGGTATCTTCTACAGAATTTGATTGCTCCTAAGTAATTACATTGCTTATGCCTTGTGCTGACCTAAGTTTACCCGCATTTCTTAAACGTCTGTTAGTTTGATATTGTCTTATTCCTATTTTTGAAAGTTCTAATAAGTTCGATACGTCTTCTGTATTTGATTGATATAAAATTGGGGCTGTTAGTTGGATTCTGTTTTGGCTAGTAAAATTTGATTGGAAATAGAAAAAGCAACCTAGGGATATATGGAAGACACTAAACAGAAAAATTAAATTAGGGTGGTGCTATCCACAAACACCTTGTTAATTTCTGTCCTTTGATCCTTTTCAATTCATTCGATCCGACAATCAAAAATCGAGAGGGATGTGTGGATAGCACCACCCAACATCAAAAACAAACACCAAATTTAAACATCCCAAAGAAAGGTCAAATCTTTAATGAACTGAATGGCATTAGAGAGCTGCAAGGAATAGCATCATTAAATGGGTGGTATTTTACTCAATTCACTATTAGAGCTTTCTGGTTAATGTACATCCACGTAGCAATACTGCAACCACTTCAGTGAGAGCATGTAGAGAAAAGTTTAAGTTGCAGCAGCATCAATCAATCTTTAAGTTGAGGGATCAATTGTGTTACTTTTTTTGTGATGTTTATTTGGACTTGATACACTATTAAATGTTGAACAGGTGGTTGATGCTTATGCACTAATTGGGGATATCTCTGGCCTTGCTGAGAAGATACAAAGTTTCTTTATGCAGGAAGTTCTATCAGAAACCCACTCCATATTGAAGAATATTGTGCAAGAGGTATGCTGATATAATTATGATTTAGAAGTAGAATACTTCATGCACAAGTGTTAGGTTTACACACAGAAAATAAGGATGTATTTCTTGAAAACTCCCCCAACTCCTCCCCCCCCCCAAAAAAAAAAAAAAAAGATGAAAAAAGAAAAAACCAATAATGTGGAGAAAAGGATAAATTTTGTATTGTAATAAGTTAATCAATAGGATATTAAAGGAGTGTTGGGGTAGAGCAGTTAAAATAATGTGTATAAACAAATTAAGGAGTTTCAGCGAAGCATTCAATTAAAATAGGGAGATGTTATTGGCACTCCAAAAAGTCATTTTGCACTACGTGTATTATTGTTTCTGAATATAGAAATTTGGAGTGCCAATAGCAGCACCCTTAAAATAACGTCTATACAAATTAAGGAGCTTCAGAGAAAGCAGCATTGTGCTTCTCTAGGGATACTGCAGTAATAGGTGGCTATGTAAGATCTCTGTGGAGAGCTCTGACAATGGGTTTACAAAAAGTGGGTACAAAACAACTTATCATGTTAGGGTGGCTGGATCATTTAGTAAGGTTTCCATTTCGGTTATGGACAGTAGAAGGTTTTTGAGCTGATGTTATTTGAGGTAAGACTATGATTCAAAAGAGATTCTGGATTCATCCCAGGTTTCCTTTTGTACAACTGGGACACTCATAATCACAGTCAAATGTCAGTCTTGGGTGAATTAAGGATTGAACAAAAGTTCAATCCTATCATCACAAGGTAGAAGATGAGGAAAGGGGTCGGATGGGTACACTTGGGCAAATAGAGGGTGGCACGAAAGTTGAGTCCTATAAACACAAGGTAAAAGGTGAAGAATGGGGAAGGGTACACTTGGGAGCAAGAAAAGGATGAGTGCACCATATTCTGTTATCAGAATAAAAAATGAAGATTACAAAAGGGGTAGAAGGTTGGGAAGAAACATCAGGGGCCTAGTATAGGAAAGGATAATACTGGGGCCCAAGAATTGGAATTGTTGGGAGAGGGACTAGACCACGAGAGGTTGTGGGAGCATAGTAGAGGAAAACCAGGCCAGCTCAAGAAAGCTACTTGGGTGGATGACTTAAAAGGTTGGTAGAGCTAGCTAATAACAACAACAACAAAGCCTTTTCCCACTAAGTGGGGTCGGTTATATGAATCCTAGAACGCCATTGCGCTCGGTTCTGTCACGTCTTCCGTTAGATCCAAGTACTCTAAGTATTTCCTTAGAGTCTCTTCCAAAGTCTTCCTCTACCCCTCGGCCCTGAACCTCTGTCATGTGATCGCATCTTCTAACCGGAGCGTCAATAGGCCTTCGTTTCACATGTCCAAACCACCGTAACCGATTTTCGCTCATCTTTCCTTCAATTTCGGCTACTGGCCCTAATTTATTAAACCGCAGGCCAACAGCAATTGGTAATGGCTTGATTAGAGGCTGGGTATTGGGAAGCTCCGAGAGAGCTTTAACTACAACAGAGGCTTGGGCCTAGTCTGATGCAAAATTCTACCAGTGTTGGAATGTATTCCAAATAAGAAGACCAAGTACCTGCTCATCCCTCCATACAAGGATGCTTATTCTTTCATCATTGCCCTTTCCTCTTCGAACTTGTGCAAGGTAGATGCAAGTGCTTGGAATAGTGGGTGCTTGGGCTGGAGATTGTTATTCCATTTTGGTGGAGGGGTTTTTGGGACACAGTGCAGATTAGAAGGCATGTAATCTGTGGCTTCACAGTTTTGATGGTTGTTAGGATTGTTTGGATGGAAAGAAACAATAGAATTTTTGAACATAATAACTAGGTGGGCTTTCTTTGGGGGAAGAATATTTTTGGCATTTTATTGGTGTCAGCGTCAAGACTCGAGACATTTTAGACGGTCCTTAGGTTTATCTTTTCTGGGGACCTTATTCTTTCAATTTTCTGTTTGTGCAATTTGTTTATAGCTGTTTTGTTTGGGCTACAGAGTAAATCTTTTGTTTTCTTGATCAAAATTTTGTTTCTTATTAAAAGAGGAGATGATAAGGCCTATGGTGTTCACTTTATAGCTGTATTGTGAGACAACATCTATACTTAGATGATTAATTTATCTTTGCAGGATCAGGGATTTCACATGCAAAATAGTCGGTACATTTTCTACATCTACCAGTGCTAGAATCATAATGTAACAGAACTGTACATCTTGTATGCTTGCTAATGCATTCTTATGTCATTCCAGACTTACCTACAGCGATCTATGCCTTCAGATACCTGAACCAAAGTTTAGGCAGTGTTTGTTAAACACACTAGCTAGCCTTTTCAAATTGATGTGTTCATATCATGAAATCATGGGCTTTCAGCTGGATAATAGGGTAAACTTCGACTCACACTTTTACTTGATCTTATTATTTTTAGTGTATACTTGGTAATGTCTTTATTTAGTTTTGTTGCATGAACTTCTTCCAAATTTTAAATAATGTTAGTTGATAGTTCCTCTATGTTACTGCTTGTTACCATTGGCTGGTAAAGTATATTTGAATGTGACCTGTCCTTTAGAAAGTTTTTTCGCTGTGCAGTGTTGTCTCTAAAACATTTTCTGTTTGCTTTGTCAGAACAGTTGAAAATTGTGTTGCAAAATATTTATGCACTCAAATGTATTATTTATCAGTATTATACATTAAATTAACCTGTTTTGGTCTATTACTAGTTTTCATTGGATTCCGTTAACCGTATTACAGCCATAGTGGTCACATACTTTATGACTTTATGACTTTAGGTATTTTGCAGAAATATGGTTCCTACATACATACATGATCCCACAAAAACAGAATCTTTTTGTTTTTCTGGATATGAGAGGAATATTTGTCTTTGTTTTAGGATTCAGCCCGTAAAACTCCAAGCATGACACGGAAGGAAAGTGACATCTCTCCGACTCCAGGAGGGGTTCAGCAAATTTCACCTCCTTGTTCTTCCCAAAAAGTTAATGGCTCTCTCGTCGAATATGTAGATATAGTGCCCGGTTCAGCCTACATAGATGATCCTACAACAACCTGCTCTGCGGTTGAATCTACAGGAAACACAACTTCCACTAGTTGTCAAAATTTAGTTGATGAGGCAAGTAAGGATGACAGTACAACATCAACAAGTGGATCCCCGTGGTATCAACTGAGGAAAGATGCCACAGCATTTGTTTCACAAACCCTTCAGAGGGGACGCAAAAATCTCTGGCAACTCACAACTACTCGTGTATCGGTCTTGCTTTCTTCAACTTCTGTTTCTTCTGCTAGCATACACCAATTCTTGAAAAACTATGAAGATCTGGGTGTCTTCATCTTGGCCGGGGAAGCATTTTGCGGATTTGAAGCAGCTGACTTCAGGAAGAAGTTGAAGGCAGTATGTGAAAATTATTTTGTAGCTTTTCATCGGCAGAATATATATGTAAGTTAACTTCACAGGTTTTGTCCTCCCAATAGGGCTAGGCCATGTGATGATTGATATTATGATTGTTTATTTCTTTTCTTTTTAATTTTTATAAAACAGATTGGTTACTGATTACGAAATTATGGATTGTTATGAACTCATGACGAAATAAGAGTTGTGGACTACCAGACATTGCTCACCTACCTGATGTGATGTTACATACATAAATAGTCTTTTCGTGCATTTGCTTTTACATGTCCAAACTTGTAATATCACATGCACGATAAAATCCTATTATCCTACTTAGGTGGCATGCGCATAACCGGTCTGCCGCCATGTTTGTCAAGTCTTGTGTGTTTATTTCAATTCAAATATCTTAGAAACATTTTGTTTGAACAGTTTTGCCTCCCAACACTTATTTTACACATTCTCATTAGTTTATTTTTTATTTTTTAATTATGTCGTAGTAGAATTAAGCTTTTACTATGCACAACACTCTCCATATGCACTTATATAGGTAGTTAAAACATAATTTTTTTTTTCAGGCGCTTAAAATGGTGTTGGAAAGAGAAATTTGGTTGATAATGCCACCAGATACAGTACAAGAAATTACATTTCCTGGGCTTGCCGGTGACGGAGCACCTATAATTGTTTCGTCTGAGGGTAAGTCTAATGCCAGGGTTCTACATTCTAAGCCTACAAGTGTTGTTGACACCGGCACCAAGAAGAGTGGATTCTCTAATTGGCTTAGAAATGGAAACCCCTTTTTGTTAAAGCTGGCACATACGTCCAAAGAAAGTCTTAAATGGAATGGCACAACTGGTGAATTTGATGGTAATTTTAGTCAAAGGCTTGGTGATAAGGTCTCTCCACCAAGCAGTGATTCAAGACTTTCTAATGGTGCTAATTCTGTTTCGGAAGAAGAAAATGAAGATCTTCTTGCAGACTTTATTGATGAGGATAGTCAACTCCCAAGTCGAATTTCGAAACCTAGACTTTCAAGAAATCAATCTTTACATTGTAATGATGGAGAAATCACAGCCCAAACTGGATCATCTATTTGTCTTCTAAGGTGAAGGGCTCTTTATTTACTGGAGAGTCTTTTGAACTTTCAGTATAAAAGCTTGAATTATGTATTTGGTAATGGATGCGTGATCAGTTGATCTGTATGTTCTTTTAATTTTAGGTCAATGGATAAATATGCCAGACTTATGCAGAAATTAGAAATAGTCAATGTTGAGTTCTTCAAGGTATCTTTTACTCTTTATGTACCTTTTTCTCACTTTTGTGTCTGTTCTTTAAGCTTATTAATAAAAACCTGTGATGAATCTATTTTCCTGATCCAGTATATTGTTTCAGGGAATATGCCAGTTGTTTGAGGTATTTTTTCATTTTGTGTTTGAAACATTTGCTCAGCAAAACAGCAATTCAGGTGGAAAAGGGTCACCAGATCCGATTAATTGTGAGTGCTTTCTTTTTCATTGCTTCAAACTATTATGCGTTCTTTATCTGATCATCTACTGATTATGATACTTTCTCATTCTGATGCACACTCGAAAACCTTATCATGTTCTACACAGATCGGCTGAAGACAGCCTTGTCCAGAATACAACAAGACTGTGACCAGTGGATAAAGGCCCCGTCATCTTCATCCACATCTCTAAATTCTTCATTTGCAGACATCACGCCAATGAGTCCTCCCAGTAACACACCAGGAACATCCTTTGGTCTCAAGGTATTAATTAAATATCATGTGGTCCTCCTGGATCATCTCTCAGATTGAAAATAATAATAACTTTTCATTCCAACTTTTTTGAGTTTTATGTGCACTTTTTTGAGTTTTATGTGCCTTGGGCATTTATTACATGCCCTACAAGTTAGAAAGTTATATGTGCCATACTTGTTAATATTGGCAGTTTTCATGGTCTGCAGAGCATATATGGGTTGGTGTGCTACACCTATATATGTTTTAGTCATCCTTTCTATTTCTTTTTAAATGTTAAGAGACGATGATGCTGTACACTAGTTTCAATCCTTGTAATATTGCAGTATAACTTCATAAATTTCATGCAATTCCTTAGTAACATTTCATATTATGCTATTCCATGATGGCATGGATGTTACCAGATGTTCTGTACTTTTTTGGTTATAGTTAGAGCGAAGCTATATGCAATGTAAATCTGCTTTAAGTTGACAACCATTATGTTGCAGGAAAGATGCGCAGGTGCTGACACTATCTCCCTTGTTGCTCGAATATTGCATAGATCTAAAGCTCATCTCCAGACAATGCTACTTCAGAGTAATGCTGCTGTAGTTGAAGACTTCTATGCACATCTGGTAGGTTCCTTTGTTATTGTCTGCTGGAGTTTTCAAAAGATTTCATGCTATCCTGGTGAAGTGTTAAAATGATGTGATACGATCTTAGTTTTAACTTTCCATAGTTGACTATTCAGGGATAAATGACTAGGAACATGTTTTATTATTATAAAATGATTCTTGTTACCATTGAATCTCATAAATAAATGTGTGAAATGGATGATACTATGAGGAGGTTGTGTGATTGTATTTGTATTGGAAAGTGATACTTCTTAGATAATGTGCATTTGACATTAAAACATGAAACCAAAGTAGAAAAAGAAAAATGTATGTATATTGCCAGATACTGCTAGTGGAAACTTATCGATACTGTTATATACTAGATAGGCTTATATAATTAACATTTCATTTTCATTCCAGCAATTAAGTTCTTGTATGTTTCTCACAATTTTTTTAATATGACTTGTTTGATTTCTTTATTTGTTATTCATCTGTAAGTGGTTAATTTTTTGACAAATGATTAAATTTTCTTGATGAATGCCCATAATTCAGATTTGAAAGTTCAGTATATCTTTATTAGGTTGATGCTGTACCAGATCTTGTAGAGCACATTCATAGGACAACTGCAAGACAACTGCTCCATATTAATGGGTAAGACCAGAGAGTTCATGGTCTGGTTTTGTTTATTTTACTAATAGGTGTTTCTTTCCGCAGATAAATTAAACATCATTTTATTTAAAAAAGTTCCCCTTGTCTCTTGGTTTCTACTTTTTCATTTCATCATATGAGGATAAAGTTCTCATTCTAATTGTTGTCATGGAAACAAAAAAAAAAATGAAAAAAAGATAACTCAATTTGGCATCTTTTGATCAGCAATTAGTGCAATATCGGCATTATATTTATTGCTCCAATTATCTATGATTTTTACCTTCAAGTCTCTCATGGACAACCATTATTTGCAGTTATGTGGATCGGATAGCCAATGCAAAATGGGAAGTAAAAGAGCTTGGACTAGAGCATAATGGGTTAGTTTCTTGATATTTATTCTTTATTAGGTCTAATTCATGGTTCCTCTTTGCATGTCACTCCTTGATCATGTTGGCCTTGTCTTTATATGTGCAAGAAACAGAAATTTCTGAAAAATTCTTGCTGAAATGGCTTTCGCCCCAATTTTTTCTCTCTAGTACCATATGACAAGTGTCAAGTTTTCTAACATGAGTTGTTGCTTTAATAGGTATGTTGATTTGTTATTGGGAGAATTCAAGCACTATAAAACAAGGCTTGCTCATGGAAGAATCCGCAAGGAGGTAATTACTGGCAGTTAGTTTCTCTAGGAACAATCACAATAAAAGGGACAAGTTGCTCCTCTCTCAATATGGTTATGACCAAATTTTACGGCTACTGTGTGAGTTTATTGTGTGCAGTATTAGTTAATACCTGTAGTTCATTGTGCATGTTTGTGACTATACCTATTATTGTTCTCTTTTGTTTTCTTTTTGGTGAGAGCCCTGGCGGGGAGGAATGGGTTTGGATGGTTGGGATGACTCTCATGCTCAACAATGTGTCAATACCTGTGGTATAGTGTGTTGGGGTTGGGGGAGGGCTGGGGAATGTGTTTGGATGGTTAATACGATGGCTCTTATGCACAATGATGCATGTTAATACCTGCATTTTATGGTGTTGGTTGTATTATTCTTGGTGGGTGGGACAGGAGTGAGGAATAGGGTTCGAGTGGTTATTGTGTGGTTATTCTGTTATGCCATTCTGCCATATCTTAAAGTAAAGTTTTTCCCGGGTCATAAAAGAAAAAGAAATAAGTTAGTAGTTTTACATTGGGTATGGATTGTTATTTTGTTATTTCTGTTAGGCCTTTCCTCTCTGTCTAAAGTTCCATTTTCCCCGGGCGATAAATAATATCTTAGGTTTTAAGTTGTGTATATCAGACTACAGGGATAAATTGCTCATATATCTTATACAAGCATTTTTGACATGACGCAACTGCGAAATATGAAATTGGTAATTGCATAGTGAATTACCTTTTGTTTGAGCTAAGAGCCTTATGTGTGATCTAAAGTGAGCATTTGAAAAATAAAAATGTGCTTGATTAAATTGCACATATAACATATTATGTATTGGTGCGTGTAGGTTCAAGACCTCCTCTTAGGATATGGACTTGAAATTGTTGCCCAAACTCTCATAGAAGGTCTCTCCCGTGTCAAGAGGTGTACAGATGAAGGGCGGGCTCTCATGTCGTTGGATCTACAGGTTCTCTCTCAAATTGAACCAGCTATGCATTTCAATATTCCTTTAGTGTTTCTCTCCTTTGCAACGTAATAAATTTCAGGACTCCTTTGTGGGTTTCAGGTTTTGATCAATGGCCTGCAGCATTTTGTGGCCATGAACGTGAAGCCCCATTTACAAATAGTTGAAGCCTTCATTAAGGTAAGCTCAAACGTAGACTACATACGTAACAAGATCTTATGAAAGCAAGATTTTGGGAATTTGTTGATTGTTTTTATAGATAAGCGACTAGAACAATTTAGTGGAAGTGGGGTTTTGCAACTAACTTTCACTCTTTCTACTCTTGATCAGGCATACTATCTCCCGGAAACTGAATATGTGCACTGGGCACATGCTCACCCGGTAAGAGATTCATTGCTAGACTTACTCTGCCCAGATTTTGGACACTGATTATCGTACATCATGAATACGAACTTACCTTCTCTTCTGCAGGAATACACAAGAAATCAAATCGTTGGGTTGATCAACCTTGTTGCCACTATGAAAAGTTGGAAGAGAAAAACCAGATTGGAGGTGTTAGAAAAGATTGAATGAGCATGCAACTTCGGATAAGCGTGGTAGGTTTTTTAATCATTAGAACCTCACACGTTGCTTGTCACTCACTTTCCAGTTAATTTTTTTTCTAATGAGCCATGTATATTCGACTTTTCATCGTTACGTCGATTTAGGTTGTATATCTTCTCGTGTCTGAGTTTGTAATATATTGTCATCCCTGATAGGGACGATTAAGTGTATTTTCGGATCACATGAGTCTTGAAATAATGATAAACCAAGAGGAAAAGATACAATTGTAATAACGAGATTACATCAAACTAGTAAAGCTTCGACGCAGTTTTCCGTTACCTTGCTCGAGCATATGCTCCTGAATTGGTTCCGTAGGATCGCTATTCGTATAAATCTGTGTACTGGTTGATGCTGAATGGTTTGATATTATTAGTGAGTTCAACAAGTGTATAGGAGAAGCTATGGTTCCAATCAACTTTTTGTGTTCCATTTCTTGTTAACTTGGTATCAATCCCTTGGAACTTGCCAATCCTTCCCCCCAAACATAATGTTTAGGCCGGATTTTAGAAGGTCAAAAATGTAATCGCCAATAAAAATATTAGGGAAATATTGCCTCGAATGATCTTTTGTTGTGTTAGTTACGGTTATCGACATATATTTAGGACCCTTTTAATAATTATTTTGTTTTTAATTTTAAAATTTTCGCTTTTCGTGTTTTAAGATACGATGAAAGTATGGGGGCACGGGAGGGATGAAGAAGGGTGATGAGAAAAAGGAAGAATGGACTAGAACAAAATTTCGAAAGTGAAAAAGGCTTAAAATAGTTTTTGGTTTTTGCTTTTAAGTTTTGATTTCGTGTCTTCAGCATATTTCCCTTGTAACTAACACAAAAACTAAAATTCAAAAACCAAAAACAAAATAGTTATCAAATTCGTTAAGTGATTATTAATGTTAGGACAAGTAAACAAAGAAAGGGCAGCTAGTAGATGGGACAAGAATAAAATTAAGGGAGTTTTAAAGAAAAGCCTACGGTACTGTTAATTTTAATGAAAAACCGTATTTTTACACTAAAAAGTCAATACCGGTACTATTCATTTTACCCTTTATTTTGTCCTTATCGTTAAAACTTAAACTTTTCAAGTCCTTTTCGTTAGCTAAATTGTAGCAAAGGTCCCCTAACTATATTAGGAGTTTAGTTTTCATCTCTAATCTCTACGACTAATTTTTCTCGTCCTCAAATTATGTCATCTGTTGCACTAGTAGCCTTTTTTGTAAACTTTTCGGTTAAGTTGAGGGACAAAATAGGAATTTCCACCAAGAAATAAGAAAATAAATTTTTTTTTTTTAAGAGAGACCTGGCTCCTCAAGGATTGAGGAACTCCTTAAAATACTTCATGATCTATTTATAGAACTTCGTGCTTATGATCGAAACTCTCTAACAATTGACTAAATGATCTTAGTTTTAATTGATATTTTGCATAATGATCTTTACATAACGATTTATAATACGAACAATTCTGATCACATGTACGAAATTCTGAATATGCCACGAAGTATTTTGAGGAGGAACTCCTCATTAATCTTAAGGAGCCAAACTCTTCTCTTTTTCATATAAATTAGATTGTTTTTCCTATATGAAAAGACCATTGTACCCTTAAATTTTACAGAAAAAGAAGACATATTTAACAGAATAACCACTCATACAATGTAGAGTTAACTTGAAGGACGGAAGAAAATAATGTGAGAGTTCAAGGACAAAAACTAAGCATGAGGTGATGTTCATGAGACTTTGTATCACTCACCGTAAAATTAAATATCGTTACCCTAGAATATTTTTATTTACAGCTAAGCAGGTTTTATGTCCACATATCCTAAACCCTACGCGTAGAAATCAAAGCTTGGACAAACTGATATGTTTTGTGAGGGTTGGAGCACAGCGAAGCCATGTTCATGCAATGATTTGCTCTCTCGTCATCATCTGCACAATTGCGGAGATGCGGATTTGTGGACTACACCTCTCTTAAAAGAAAATAAGATAGAAGGGGACAATTTTAATAACCATGATTGCAAAAAATAATATAAACTATGTGGATTCCCCTTTTTTTTTTTTTTTTTCTTTTTTTGCTTCATGATGAACTATAAATTCTTAAACTTTTTCATGTTTGGACCATAAACAAAAGGTTTTTTTTTTTTATCATAAATAGTTCATAAGATTGATCAAACTCATCATTTTAGTCATTCACTTTCAAAATCAATCAATGTCGTTCCTGACATTCACTACAGCACATCAGTTTGGTCATTCCGTTAAGATTCTGCCACCTATTCTGTTAGTTTGTATATGAAACCTACAAATCAAATGAAATTGTGACACGTACACAAAATAAGGGTTTTTATCGAAAATGATCCCTAACATTGATCAAACTCTTCATTTTCATCTCTGAGTTTCAAAAATGAATAAATTTAGTCCTTGACTTTCACTACCACATGCCAATTTAATCCTTCCATTAAAGTTCCGTTAGTATTTTTTGTCCCACTAATCCAAGCATCTGGCGCCACATGGATTAACTATAAGAAATTAATTTTATTAAGATTTAAAACTAAAAGTAAAATAAGAAATTAAAAACCAAAATTAAAAGAAAAAAAAAGTCATTGTCGTCTTCATCATGGTATCTCAAAAAAAAAAAAAAAAAAAAAAAAAAAAGAATGCACCATGGCACAACCAAAGGACTTGGCTCCCTAAACTCACTCCTCATTCTATGTAGGTTATAATCCTATCCAAATTGCATTCAATTTTATTGAATTTAGATTGAGTGTTTTTATTTTTTTTATTTTTTTTATCAATTGGGATGCGAGGAATGTCAGTGTGGAATACTCATTCGTTGGTTCACTCTTAAAAAAAAAGTTTCTTATAGTTAATCCAAGTATGATTGGATTAGTGGGACCACATCAACATACAAACGAAAAATATTCATGAAATTTTTAAGGAAGGACTAACACTACTACAAAAGGGGGCTATAGTGTCGGAGGGTGGTGTCGCTTTAATCTAATATAGTAGCGGATTAGGCAGTTGCGACACTAACTGAACATGACGTCGGATTTACTGTCGCTTATAAGCGTTATTAAATGTTTATGTCGCTTTTAAACCGACATAAACATATATTTTAATAATTTTTAAATACTAGTGTCGCTTTTAAACCGACGTAAACATTATTTTAATAATTTTTAAATATTAGTGTCGCTTTTAAGCGACATAAAGTGTGTATATATATATATTAAATTATATATATATTAAATTAAATTTTATATCCCTAAAAACTATAATAATTATATATATATATATATATATTAAATTAAATTTTAAAAAATTGGTGATCATTGGATTGGCTTAAATATACATACGATTCAATTTCTTAAGTGTTATACATACAAAATAAATAAATTTAAATCTACTTAATATATATATACACACACACACCATTGAACTTGATTGGATACGAATTCTATGAAACTAATTTCGACAGTTATAAACGAAAAATCACGATTTAACGGTTATTTTAACTCCGATTTTGATGATTTTTTACAGCTACATTCCTTGACCCTATATGAATAGAATGAATGAATTCGATCTTCAATTTAAAATATTTACACAAGTGGATACCACAAAATCTTATGTTATACTTAATGAAAGTATAAATAAACTCTAAGTGTTAGTCAATCTATTGTTTTGATGGGATACGAATTCTCCGAAACTAATTTCAACGATCCCAACCGTCAAACTTGTTTGCATATGCTTCGAGATCACGTCAGCAAAAAATCACAAAAAACAAACATTCAGAGATCAAGTAACGGGACAAAGCTTTTCGACGGTTATAAACGAAAAATCACGATTTAACGGTTATTTTAACTCCGATTTTGATGATTTTTTACAGCTAAACTCCTTGACCCTATATGAATACAATGAATGAATTCGATCTTCAAATTAAAATATTTACACAAGTAGATACCACAAAATCTTATGTTATACTTAATGAAAGTACAAATAAACTCTAAGTATTAGTCAATCTATTGTTTTGATGGGATACGAATTCTCCGAAACTAATTTCAACGATCCCAACCGTCAAACTTGTTTGCATATGCTTCAAGATCACATCAGCAAAAAATCACAAAAAACAAACATTCAGAGATCAAGTAACGGGACAAAGCTTTTCGACGGTTATAAACGAAAAATCACGATTTAACGGTTATTTTAACTCCGATTTTGATGATTTTTTACAGCTACATTCCTTGACCCTATATGAATAGAATGAATGAATTCGATCTTCAATTTAAATTAGTTTTTTTAAATATTTTGAAACCCAGTGTCGCTTTTAAGCGACATATTGATTTAAATTAGTTTTTCGTTTTATAACCATCGAAAAGTTCCATAGAATTTGTATCCCATCAAGTTCAATGGTGTGTGTGTATATATATATATATTTATTAAGTAGATTTAAATTTATTTATTTTGTATGTATAACACTTAAAGAAATTGAATGGTATGTATATTGAAACTGATCCAACGGTCACCAATTTTTAAAATTTAATTTAATATATATATATATATATATAATTATTATAGTTTTTAGGGGTATAAAATTGTTACATTAATATATATAATTATTATAGTATTTTTTAGGGTTATAAAATTAATATATATAAAATTATAGTATTTGAAATATTAGGCGGGAAATTTCCCGCTTGTTTGAATGGATGTAGAGACTTAGTGTCGGTTTTAACCGACGCTAGTGTCATTAAAGCGACGCTATGTGAATTTCAAAAAGTGTGTCAGAAGTTGGCGTCGGTTAAAAGCGACGCTAGTTTCATTAAAGCGACGCAAGTTTCATTAAAGCGACGCTATGTGAATTTCAAAAAGTGTCAGAAGTTTGTGTCGGTTTAAAGCGACGCTAGTTTCATTAAAGCGACGCGAGTTTCATTAAAGCGACGCTATGTGAATTTCAAAAAAAGTGTCAGACGTTTGCGTCGGTTTTAACGGACGCAAACTAAGTACCTATATTTAAACCCCTCTCTTTCCCATTTCAACCGTGCTTTCATTTCTCCCCCAATTTCAGACTTTCTTCTTCTCCTTCCCCATTTCATATGTGCGTCCCCTTCTTCCTCCTTTTCATTTTTTCCTCAACTCCTTCCCCGTTTGCTTTGGATCACCAGTTTGAAGATCAACATTCTGAAGAACTCCAATTCGAGGAGGAAGAGCTTGAAGGTGGTTCATTTTTAAATTATTATGATTATTAATTTTAGTTTCTATTTTGTATTCTAAATAGTTTTATGCTTAAATTGAAAATTTATTTTTGTTTCTTGGTTTTTAATTGTTTTTTTTGTATTTATGCATGTTGGATCTGAAGAGCAAGGACACTGGAAATCGCAGATCCATAATTTTTTAAAGGTATAAAACCTGAGTTTAATCTATAGAGATTAGAGCCTTAATGTTGAAGTAGTAAAGTATTGGAGCACTGATCTGATGGCAAGCATGGCAGCATGGAGTTGCTAGTATTATATATGGCACTATGGAGCTACAAAATATGTGGTCTTCGACAAAGGCAAGCACATGAAAGCATGGAGGATGAATTTTTGTAAATTATATGGAATGTTAGATGTAAAACATTTGTATATTATGGCACTATTTTTCTTTTGAATTATTTTTATTATTGTTTGTTTTCGCCTAAAATTGAAATTTATTATTTCGATTATATAATTTTTTTGAGTTATAATTATTTGAGAACGAATACAGAAACAGATTTCGACTTTTTTTTTAATTATTATTATCAAAGGTGGTGTCACTTTAAATCGTCACTAGTTTGCATATTTTATTTATTTAATTGTTCTCTAACGTCGCTTTAAACCGTCACTAGTTTGCATATTTTATTTAGTTAATTGTTGACTAGCGTCGCTTTAAACCGACGTTAACATCAGCGTCGCTTTAAATCGACGCTGCGTAGTGGCGGATTAAGCGAACAAAGCGACGCTGAAGCCCTTTAGTGACGGTAGCAATGGCGTCGCTATTCCAATCCGACATTGCAGTGTTTTATGTCGGATTTTTGCCAAATTTCCGACAGAAATCGGGGTTTCTTGTCGGTTTTTGGTCCGCCGGTGATAGCCTATATTGTAGTAGTGTAAATTAATGTACGGTAGTGAAAGTCAAGGACCAAATTTATTGATTTTTGAAACTCGACCAAAATGAGGAGTTGGATCAATGTCAGGGACCATGTGCGATAAAAATCCTTATTTTGTAATCCACGTGTCACCATTTAATTGGATTTGTGGGTCCCACATACAAACTAATAGAATAGTTGATGGAATTTTAACGGAATGACCAAATTAATGTGAAATAGTGAATGTCATGAACGACATTGATTGATTTTGAAAGTGAGAGACCAAAATGATGAGTTTAATCAATCTCAGATACCATTTGTGATAAAAACCCTAAACAAAAATCAGCCTAATAGGATGGTTCTTGATTTTCGGAATGATGGTTCTTGATTTTCGGAATGATTAAAACTAGTTTTTATTCATCTTCATCTCTATAGTTTAGAGCAAACAATCCATAAGAGTGTGAAGTCATCAGCATTCGAGGTATAGAAAACAACTTAACTAACAAAGTGTCCCACTTGTAGCATAAATGTTTGGTTTCAAAGTTAAAAAAGGCGCAACACACATTCGTGCTAACACATATCTATCTATTGTAAGCATCCAACAGTGGCAAGCTCACAATTTCTCTCTCTCAATTCTCTTTGTGGCATAAAGAGGCAAACAAAAAGCCTGAATCAAATAGTTTGTCGTAACCAGAACCAATTTAAACCCCAACATTACGAGGGTTGGATTCAATTAATAACTGAATAAGAAAGTTAATGCTTAAGCATAAGTGAATTAAATTAGTTAATCAATGTAAGGTCTGTCTTCTCATTCAAATTCAAAAGACTACCCTTATAAATTAGATAAACAGAAAACCGTCGTATCAAAAAAAAGAAAAAGAAAAAAAACATCTCTGATTGTGATCAAACAACTAATCTTAATTTAAAAAAAAAAAACACCAGACTAATCAGAGAAATGTTGGACCATATACCAATTGAAGAATGAAACAATTGCTGCAGCCTCCTACGAACGTAAAAATATCTACCCTGCACAGTATGCAGCTTTTTCCCCTCATTTCATTTTTGTGTTCCGCATGGTTATTGTTTGCTTCTTGACTCTTGCCTCTGGTTGCAGTGTGCCAACACTCTTTCTTTTCTACGTAGAAGCAGCAGCAGCAGGTGATTGTGTGATGTCAGCCACCATGTTTAATGCAATGCATGGCTGATCCACCGGTACCTGTAAATTTTAAAAAATATCAATGAAATCAGTAAATATTATAAAAACGAAACTAGTTACATATTTTTAAATAAAAAAATGGAACTAAAACAGTAAATTGTTGTTTATATTAATTTAATTAAATATTGTTGTGTATTTTTTCTAAAATATTTAGAATGGAAAAGGTCTCTGGTTTGGTCAGACTTTGTCAGCTTTGTCTTCCACACGAGTGGTGCCACATATATACACCGACCGGTCAGACATCTCTGATTTCATGGACTGTCAGTAGTAACATATTGTCATATAGTACTTCAAGTAATTGTCACGTCATATGCATGCAATGCAATGTAAGATATATGCATGTCCCACCCTCCAACCAAAGTTTGACTTCCTCTAAATTTCCCACTTCGTCCCTCTCTCTCCTTATCATGTTATATAAACAGTTATAATTATGTGACGTTAATATTTTATGTTAGAATTCCTATAATTCACATAGGCCAGAAGGTTCGAGAACAAGCAATTTAAATAGAATTACCTCATTCTAACTAACATTGAAGCATTTTGTAATAAAACCTCACACATGACTGATTGAGTAGGTGACCAAGTAGGGACAGTGTCGGTGTTGTTGGAGTGGGCCCATGGCCCGTCTACTTGAAATTTAACATGGTATTAGAGCCAGGGGACGGGCTCATACTGCCATGTGAACGGGTGAGTCCCCTTTGACCTTGCGTCAATGGATGAGCCCTGACTTGGTTCCACGTAGGCCAAGAGATGCCACGTGAATGGGTGGGTCTTTATTGGCCCCGCGCGAACGGATGAGCCCTGACTTGGCTCCACATGGTCGTTGATGTGTGGAACTTCATGTGTGACCCATAAAATTGGGTCTCACGTGCAGGGGAGTGTTAGAATTCCTCTGTCCCACATCGGCTAGAAGATTTGAGAACAAGCCCTTTAAATAGAATTACCCCACTCTAACTAATACCGAGGCCTTTTGCAATAAAACCCCACACCTGATGGATTGAGCAGGTGGCCAAGTGGGGACAGTATCAGTGTTGTTGGAGTGGGCCTATAGCTCGTTTAACAATTTATTTTAATTTTTTTTAATAAAAAATAATATCAGAGGAAGAAAGAAAAAAAAAAGCCCCTAAATAATACCTATGATTACGAGTGTTGTGTATTTTTGACATTTTTGTTTAATTTTAAATCATGATAAGATTAGTCGCACATAATTGTTATCATATTTGTGAAGTTTGTTTTGAAATTCTTGCAATTAAATATTTACAAATGAAACAACTATAAAAATACGGGGTTTTTTTTTTTTTTTTTTTTCATATTCTATACAAGTATTGTCTTCATAAATATATATCTTTTATTGTATGATGCGACAAATAATAATCAAACAAACGATCAAACAATTATATAATGTAATAAAAATGTGATATACATTATGGGGTTGTTTTTAAAATCGAAAACTAGTGAGAGTATGATTATCTTTCCTCTTTTTTTTCCCTTCTCTTTCTTTCTCTCATATTTGAACGGTCATGGTTAAACTACGTCAACGTCTTATATTAAATTTTTATAAAAAGAGAAAGATAAAATAAAGAATGTGAAAAAAATAAATGAAAGGAGATGAAAAAATAAAAGGAGATAATCTTAGTCCAAACTACTGGGATCATTTGTGTTTGCTCTATTTGATACTATTTTCTTTCTTTTGGCATGTCACTTGTCACTCTCACGTAAGCATCCAAGGTACAAGCTGACATACAAGCTCAGGCCAGCTTGTCGGGCTTGTTTAAAGTGATTGCATTTAAGACGTTCTGTCTCGATCATCCAATCCTAAGGTGAATTCGGGTTTGGCATGAAACTGCTTCTAAAATAGTTAAAAGTGTTTTTTTTTAAATATTTTTTTATATTAATCTTTAATAAAAAATAAGTAAATTAAAAAAAAAATATATATATATATATTTGGAATACTTTTTATAAGAAATATATAATTGATGCTTATTGCAAAATAAACTTTAAGTATCATTGAAATTTATAAATATTTTCTCTAAAATTATTTTCAGTCATTTTAAAAGAATTTTCAAACAAACCCTTTAATCTTAGAATACGTTTCTCTTAAGTTGAAATCGCAAAAAGTGCTTTAAATAGTACGCAACATAATAATGAAAGATGAAAGTCTCTCTATCCAAATATTTACTTTCAACATTTTGTAAATTCTAAGTAAATTTTAGAACATTTTTATATTTAAGAAAACAATTTATACACACCATTCTAATCAGTAGACTGAACTAATCAAAGATTCAAAAGAGAATTAGAGCTCGCATTTAGAAAACGTGTCTAAAAGGTGAAAAAAAAAAAGAAGGTAGAAATCACTCCTCTATAATTAAGATTTGAAAACAAATTAATCCAAACAATTGGTAGACCAGCATACAGCTAGGGGTTACACTCAAAACGCTTAATGCACATGGACAAATGAGTTGCTACATTTATATACCTTAATAAGCTTTCATTAGAGAGAATATTATTGCTTTAAGCAAAAGTTTAAACATATTATATACATGTGCAATGTCATATTTTTCACTTAAAACTTTATCCAAAACCATGACAGGATTATGAAGATGACATCTTAACTATAGCATAGGGCTTTGGGTTTCCACCTATGTGCCTCAAGTTAAAAATTTCTCATCTTTTAAATTATTGTAATAGTTTTGAACTCTTCTAGCTGCCTCTTAATAATAATAATTTTTTTTTTTTTTATAAAAAAGTTACGTTTTTAATATTCTAACAATGTATTGGCTATAGATATGCATCTCATATTTTAAATAGATCGAGAAATCAAATCTCAATTTTACTCATCTTAAGTCGACGCTTGGACAATATTTCGTTGTAGTAATTTAATTCTGTGTATATAATAGCAGTGTTCGCAAAAAGTTTAACGAGAAATGATGATTTTTTTTTTTGGACAACCAGAAGTGGTGGTTTACTTCTAAAAAAAAATAGCATTATTTGCACTTTGCATGAATGCCTCCACAGGACAGTGCAAAAGCACAGTGTTACCCCCTTCCAAAATAGTGATGTTGATTTCTTTGTATATTTTCTTTCATTTTCCTAAATTGAGCAAGTGTGTTACATCACATGAATATAATATTATGATAGGGTTCCATGCTAATAAAATAAAAACATGTGTAACATTATGTTCAAACTTTTTTATTTTACTAGCATGAGCTGCCACATAACAGTATGCAACTACATAACAATATATTCGTGTTACGTAAGTTAACATTATTATCATCATGATCATAATAGGTAGAGAATGACAAGACATGACACTGATATGACATTGAAAAAGAAGTAATTACTGTGTGCTGGGGGAGGAAAGTTTTGACTTACAAAATGTCCTGCTCCAAGAATCCAAAAGAAGTGCAGGTTTTTGTACGATCTGGTGAACCCTCTTGTAAATCCTTCTTTGCCACAATAAAGAGGAGTTCTACTCTTGTTCAAGAAATTTGGGAGTCCTTCCCACCTGAAAAACAGAATGGATAAAACCACCCACATGAGAGAGAGAGAGAGAGAGAGAGAGAGAGAGAGAGAGTTTACTTGAGCTTTTCGACCCATGCTTCAGTCCCCTTCGTTGCACATATGAGATCAACCTACAACAATTACCAACCAAATCATGTCAAACCTAGCTAGTTTGCAAAAATTTAATGGTATCCAATTCTTAATTATAATTAACTTTAAATAGGTAGTGATTTTTGTTTTTGGTGTAAGAATCAATAAGCGAAGAGAAATATTATCATAATCTAATACTAAGTGATTAGGCAGTTTTTTTAAGTTGAATGTGCAACTACTGATGCTAACACACTTCTTAATTCTAGAATGGATCTATCAATTTTCGATTGGCTATTCCTAATTTTTGTTAATAAAGTAAAACTGTTGGTTATTGCTGTTTAAAATGAAAGCAATGTTGAGAAAAACTTACTTGCCCATTGTATATTGTGACATTGACCCCTTTAGCAAGGAGTTCATCAACCTAAGTGGAGGGAAAAGGGAATTAAAAAAAAAAAAAATTAAAAGTTGGCACAAGATTCTTTCAAGACAAAGAAGAAATATCGTAGAGCAAAGACAAATTCTATTTCCTTGCAGATAAAATACTTAATTAGGCAAAAGTTAGCTCATTAAAAAGAATAATTAGAAGAAGAGACTTTGATTTCTCTATTCGATGCCTACAAGACAAAATATTTAATATTAATGAGTAAACTTGATATAAATTTAATTTGTGAGTTATTATTTTCATGGATGATTGGTAGATTAATTTTTATTTATTTTTGTAGATACCTTTATAACATGTTAAATTTATTTTATCAACCTATGGTATATGTATCATATATGATGGCATATAAATTTTCTTTTAACTATTTTCTATGGAAGTATTTAGATTTTCCTATAATGCAGTGAATTTCTATAATGCACCATTCACTCTAATATTTTCTTGTAAAATTAACTTTTCTTTCTTTTATCTAAATTATAAAATAAAAAAATTAATTCGAACTAAGTATTGAGAGAATACTATACTTTAATCGAAGTGTACGCTACAACTATATCATAATATAAGTAATATTATAGTTTGCTTTTCTGGATTAGGAAAAATTATTACCTCATTAATCCTTGGTTTCATAAAATCGCCTGTCATGGCTGAGAATACGTAATCAGACTGCCCTCCCCATCTGCAAACCCAAAAAATATGCACCACTGGCGGCTTACATCATATTTACCAAGCATTTTTAACTGTAAAAATTATATTTGCAACCGAGACGTATTTAAACAACAGATTGAAAATGATATATGCTCACGTCACATCATCGGGGATGATCTTGAGCTTCTTTTTTATGGCACCGTTTAACAAAGAACCAAGATCATCATTACCACCACCTGCTGAAGACCGTAAAGAACTCAGGTATCTTGAATATTTTTTAACGTAAATTCCTTTGTTATATTGAATTGTTGCCAAGGATGAAACTGGATCCATTCCTGAATCCAACAAAAAATTATAGAAATCCTGCAAATGCCACAAATCCAATAAATAATTTAAATGAAAAAAATTGTGAGTTTTAATTGAATTTCAGTCGCAAATAATTACTAAATTAATACGAAAATTAAAAAACAATTACCACAGCATTGCTGTTAGACATGATGACATGCTCAAGTTCACCCCAAGAATTGGCCGCGTCCACCAACTGACCATCCTGAATCTGTTGCTTAATTCTCCGAGCCACATTATTTGATTTCTGCAATCCAATGTCGTCAAGCCTTGACACGTCTTTGAGCAGAGGACCCCATGAAAGCTGTAATGTACACAAAATTAAATCATCAATAACTAAATGTAATTACACATAAATGAAAATTTATCACTAGCATTATGGTTTAGTAATATAATCTTTTTAGTGAGATTTTAAGGTGATCCTCATGAATTATGAGTATGATACAAATTGATTGTTGCTGTATTATGTGACCTAATCTAAGAACCCTACTCCCAACATGGTTGTGTATGAAAAACAATATAGACTAAACTAAATTTGAAAGTCAAACTGTAAAAATCTGCATGATACGGGTAAGACAATTATTGAGTCAAAAGCAGTTAGAACTATGGTAGCTTACCGCAAAATCTTCCGGGGAGATCCAACTGTCTCCCAATGCCACTCCTACAAAAACAACCAAATAGTTCAGAGAAAAAAAATATACATTTTAAGATGTTGGTATATTTAGTTAGACCAATATTTTTAATTAAAACTTGATTAATTTAGTTTTAATTACCTCCAAGTCTAAGTTTTAGCTTTCCTTGTTGAATGGCTTTGAGAGCTGAAAGTCCAAGAGTGACTGCAAATTTACCTCCATAGGACTCTGCCACAATGAACAGAGGACTCTTTTGGAGGCTCTCATTTCTGTTGAAAACCTCCACCAGCAATGTGGTCAAATCAGCAGCTGCCTCCAAATCATTTTTCACAAACAGAGACGTATCCTCCACAAAACTGTATCCAGTCCCAACTGGGTTGTCCTGAATTATCCCAAAAAATCAAAAGAAATTTAAATTCATATAACTTAATGGAACCCCAAAAAAGAAAACACAGTTTTGAGTACTTTTTGGTGAACTTACAACAAATAAAAGATCTGCTTTTTGCAACCAGGTTGAGTTTCTTGGGTTCAAATTCGTGTCCAATGGACCAACCTCTTCAAAATTCCCAATCCCAACTCCTGAAGCTCCCTGTTTTTTGGAAAAACAATGTAAAATAAAATATCTGGTTTGTTCATATTATTTGATTTGAGGTAGTTTGGTAATACTCACAGGTCCACCCTGAAGCCAGAGAATGGTTGGCCATGGCTTGGAGGGATCCTCAACTCTGTTGGGACTTCTGTAGAACCACCAGAACATATGGGCTTCTGTGTAAGAACAATACCAAAACAAAAAGGTGAACAAAAATTCCATGAGCATTAACATTTCTGCTTCATTACAGAAAGAAAATATATTTATATGTGTGTGTGTGTGTGAATTGCTTACTGGGTCTGACTTCAACATAGCCCCACTCCTCTGATCCATCTATGGTTCCTGCAGCAGCTGCTGTTATTGCAGTTCCTCCATGAAAAATTGGTATAAAAAGGAGAAGAGAGACAGCAAGAATTACAGAGAGATTTTTCATTGTCAGACCAAAGAATCGAGAGAGAGACAGAGAGGGAGAGAGGGAGAGAGGGAGAGAGAGACAGCAACTTCTTAACCTGCTAGGAAATAAAACATGCAGTAAAAGGAGGTTTTATATGTAGAGAGACTACTGAGGATTAATATTGCGCAACAGAAAGCTTACTTTGTCTCTGTCTAACACAAAATAACAAAGAGAGGAAAAAAAATAAGTAGAAAATAACAAAGAGAGGAATAAAAATAAGTAGTCGGATATTGTTTCTATCGTTATATAATAATAACTTTCAGAATTTATTTATAAACGGTCAAGCGGTAAAATCAAAGAAAATATTTTGTTATTTAATTTCTTGTTATAGCAAGTGCACTCGTTGCGTGTATTCTTTGGCTCTTAATATACATGGTGTATAAAAAGGAGATATTTCAATATGCCAAACACTCTATACATATTAGCTAACAAAAAACTTCACAAATTCTTAAAAAATTAAATTCAATCGATCATTTTAGAAGTACTCATGGAAACTCCTCGTTTAAACAAAACCCAAATCCCATGGATTCTTATTTCTTATTTCTTTCTTAATTTATAAGAAGAAACCTTTTTTGTGGAAACACGTTTTGCTCACGAATGACCATTTTTTCATTATGTTGAATATTTTTTTTTGAATGACCGCATAATTCGACGGTGAAATCCATGTATAGCTGGGGTTCTTGCACAAGGTTATATATATATATATATATATATATATATATATTTAACGTTCATAATTTATGGTTGCCTATCTTGCACAAGATGAACAGCTTCCCCAACGTTGCAAATGAACTTACTGCCTAAACATTTAACTTGGCTTGTAGCTGAAGATTGTTGGATGATTGACATGTTTAAAACACATAGGCAGTCTCAATCTAATTGACATCTATTTAGCTTGGAAACCATTGTGTCAAATTTTATTGTTCTTAACAATGTCAACCAAATAGATTAAAAATAACGAAAGATTGACAACAATTGTTTAAAACAATTTCAAAACAGAACTGTTTATTGGCACTTTAAAAACTTGTTTTACATGTATAGAAAATGCATGATAACCTTTTATTAGTGTGAACAACAATAAATCTATTTATTGGATTATATACATCGATTTTCACACACATAGAGGTTATGTTATAGGTAGCACGCTCGCATGCATGTGAGGCCATCCTATAAGCTCATCCTACTTTTAGTGGCCTCTCAGGCAACAATGCTTCTGAATAATTTCTTGCCAAAGAAAAGAACTGAGAAAATTGCATGAGATATATTAAATTTGTGAAATAGAAATCCTGCCTGGACAAGTTTCACTGTCACGGCTAGCTTCCACTCGAAGAATGTGTGGTGAAACATCACTTGTGCAACAACCACAGAAATTGGGCTAAAGAAAAATGGACCTTACTTCGGACCACTATTTCAGGTTGCCCTCAATAGAAAAATGAAGGGATAAGTGAACAAAATTTGAGTGCCTTATCCGGAAAGTTACTTCCATATAAGATTTCTGAGCGAGAATCGATTCGAATAACCTGCAGGCTAAGCAAAGATATTCAGCGTTTCTGGCCAACTAATTGCCCATACGTTTTATCGAATGTGTCATGCGATATAAAATTGTTGTATGTGTTGGTTATACATGTAACCTTCCTTTACAACACCCATGTAAGTGGAAATCTGTCATTTTATAGTGGAATTCACGTGTATGTTGTGGTCAGAGAAAAAAACGAGTTATATGTAATAGACGGATACTCATTATGAAACAATTTTAAAGGAGGAGGGTGTTTAATTTTTGAGGATTTCTCTTGAATGGGAATGCTAAGCTAATTATTAATAGAAATTTCTACCATATGGATGTTTGTGATATGGAATTTTTGGTGGACTCTACCGTTTTAGCTGTCCACGCAAGGGACACATGATGTGAAGTGAACTATGATGAGCTTCTAGCAAGCAAAATGCATATATAATTTGCATTATTTCTCTCTCTCTCTCTCTCTCTCTCTCTCTCTCTCTCTCTCTCTCTCTCTCTGCAGGCCCATCAGATCATCATATAGAATGACGGAGAATTATAGGATAGACACAACAGCGTTGAAGGTGGATAAGATTTTAACTGTATATAGGCATGATTATTGTATATTAGTTGGATTCTTTCATGTGCTCATATATACGTGACAACACATGTGGTTCATTCGTTAGCTATAACAATCGGGAAAAAAAAATATCATTAGACCAACTTTGAAGGGTCGTAATTTCTACATTCCTCAATTTACTTCTTACACTTTTTAAGTTTTAGCTGTTTTTATGAAGAGCTAAAACTTTGCGTTGAGTTGACGGTAAGACTTCCAACTCCAATGATAAAACATTTGTCGTAATAAGAGTTAGATTCTTACTCTTTTTTTGTTGGTGACTTGAAGTTAATTTAAAGTAGTCACTTAGTAATATGAGAGATCTTAGGTTTGAATATCTTGGATGACGAGTTCTAACTAATTTATTTGAAAACCGTTTAGTGTAAATTTATTATTTTGTTGGTGCTTATGCAATTCTAAAATTTTTCCAGCAGGCAGCGACACATTACATAATTATTCCCAGGTTTAATACCACTGTCTAACTGGCCAAATAGCTGCAAAAGAATTAAATAAAAAAAGATGGTTGAATGCAATTTTCATTTGGATATTGATATTCACACAATCATTTTTACCTCTTACACACCCTTGTTAATTTTTGGCTATTGACCTTCTTCAATTCATTAAATCCGACTGCCGAAAATTGAGAAGGATGTGGGAGAAGTAAAAATGAGTGTGTAGATAACATTACCCTTTTCATTTCTTTACTTCCCTATAGTTTTAAAGTTTTGTTTATTTCCTGTGTGGGCTTTCACTTGAAAGCATTTTTCGGGCCATAGCTTTGTGAGGGCTTGAGTAAGGCCGCTGCAAACGAAAACAAGATTTTTCAAGCCCAGCCATCGACTCCGAGCATCCTATTACCATATCTACCGCACTGATGCAGGCTTAGTGAATTATTGAGTTGTTTCCTAGAAAAAAAAACAAAAAAGGATTAAGTACCTAAAACATTCAAAACAGGTACTTAGTCTTTTTAAACATTCAAAATAGGTATTCAACTTGTTGAACATGTCATATCCGTTAAGCTCTACTTAAATTTTTGTTAATTAACTAAGCTTTCTTTGTCTCCAACATTAATAGAAGGTCATGGAAGCATAGGCTCCACAACGGCCACCACCACCCCCTTCAGCCATCACCTCCAAATCCAACTCACAATCACAAATCCACCCTGCCGCCAACATCAAGAAGGTCATGGGGGTTGTTGAATTGCTATGGACAACCATGATGTGGCCGCCATCATCTTCATCGCCCACAAAGAAGAACTAAAAGCTTTACTGGCCGAAAATCGGCGAATGAGACAATCACATGAGCATAAATAAGCTCCTTGAAACTCTATCTGAATTCTTAATCATTTCTTTTGTTAGGAGATTTTCCGATCTTCATTTTTGTTTTCCATTTTATTCCTGAATTTGTTTTTCTATTTTTTCATCTTCATTTCTTTTTTGAAGTTATATTTATTATTATTTTAATATCCAAGTAAGCAAATAAGTGGGATCCATTGTTGCCACATGTACATGTAATAGAAAAATTAACTTGGACTTAATGGATGTGACATTTTAGATTGGGTATTTGTTTGAAATGTTTAAAAAGGTTGAGACTAATTTGGAATGACACTAAAAGGTTGGGGGACTTTAGGCACTTGATCGAAAAATAAAATAATGTGGATTATCAGGCTATTCCAAGTTCGTCTTCAGTCTTCACTTCTACCTATTTTACGTAACTTAGTTGTTCACTTAAAACATTGACCATGAGGCAATGAAAGAACCTTGGCCCAACGGAGTTTATTATTTTGTCGAACAATCACTTAATATAGAAGCTAGACTCGTCATTTAGCACTACGGCCTAATAGTATTCTTCTTCACTTATAAGTTATATGTTTTAGGTTAAAAATTACCAAATATGAATTCAAACCAAATTATAATGGCTAACCACAGAGGTGCAAGGAGGTACAGCTAGTGTTCTAGGCAAAGCTAAGCAGGTTTGGGCAGGGCTGGGTAGAGGCTAGACGAGCGTGTCTAGGGAACGCTGAAATTTGAGAATGTTTCGTTACAAAGCCGGCGGCGTGCCGAGGAAGAAGATTTTAAGATGGTAACCTATATCTTTAACTAACACCCGTATCCCTATTTTTCTATTAACCAATCTTATGATTTTTTTTAAAAAATTATTTTTGGCTAATGTTTATTAACTTCTTTTTATTTTTAAGACACACCACTTTTTTCGTAGCAAATTATAATAACTAATTTGTTGTATAAATATGTTTTTTAAATAACTATGACATAGTTTAATACATAAAATAAATCCATGTAATTAGCATGGGTACATTAAGCAAAAAATAAATATGGGTATAAATTAAATTAAAAAGTAGGAGTACATATTAAAAATTAAAATATGGGGTTCAAATATACATTAAAAAAAATATGGGCTCAAAAAGAAATTAAAATATATGGATACTAATTAAAACTAAAAAGAATATTGGTGTAAAATAAAAATAAAAAGGTACACATTAAAATTAAAATATATGGAAAATACTAAAAGAATATATTTAGAAATGATTACATATGTTTTCAGTTTTGAAATTGAAAGATGTTTACATGTAAAATCATTGAATATTCAAATAATAATGTGGACAAAAGTCAAAGGACATTGATAAAAAATAAAAAGGTAATACTAGGTAGACTATATTTGGAGACAATATTTGAAGATAAACTTCTTTGGGGTCCTACTTCCAATGGAGAGTTCTCGGTTAAATCAGCTCATAGAATTCAAATTGATGATAATCAAGATCATATATTTAAGGGGCTCCTTAACAAAATTTGGAAACTAAATATTCCTCACAAGGTTAAATTTTTTAGTTGGTTGTTGGTGAGAAACAAGCTAACCACTAATGCTAAATTACATAAATTCAATAATCACAATTCTGCCTTATGTCCCTTATGTAATAATGTTGAGGAAAGCATTGGTCACAGATTTAAAGATTGTCATTATGCTCAGGAACTGAGGAAGATTGATAGTAATCTGCCTATTATTTCTTTGTTTCCATCTATTAATGATTGGCTTAATAGCCTAGAGTACATTGACAAGGAAGACTTGTCTGATCTTAGCAAGGTTCTGTTTATTTGGTGGCAAATGTGGAACGACAGAAATGATTTTATTTTTAAGCAGATAAAGCCTAATCCTGTTTGCAGTTTCAAGACTGTATCTTTTATAGCCAAAAACTTCTTACTAGCGAATTCCAAAGGAAATGAGGCAGGCCACCTCAGAAATAACATTAGCATAAGATGGCATCCTCCGGAGGTTGAATATCACAAAATAAATTTTGATGGCTCTATTGTAAGTACCTCTGCTGTTGCAGGTTTTATCATTAGAAATCATCACGGTCGACCTTTTGTGGCGGGGTCAAGGAAGCTAGGTTAAAACACAATCACTGTTGCTGAGGCCTTGGCCGCTAAGGATGCTCTTCAGATGGCCAAATCTCAGGGTTTAAAGAAGGTCAAGATTGAAAGGGATTCGAAGATTGTCATTGAGGCAATTGGGAAAGTGTAGCATTCCTTGGCGTATTAGGGCTATCATTGAAGACATTAAATGACTGGCCTCTTCTTTTGAATCTATTTCCTGGAAGCATATTTTTAGGGAATCTAATTTTGTAGCTAATGCCATCACCTTTTGTGGGCATAGTTTAGAGAATTTTCATGTCTAGGTGGGATGTGCACCTCAAACTGCTTCTGATGCTCTGTTATTTGACTCCAGGGCCCTTGGGTGTTCCCCAGGTTTTTCTCTCTCGTAATGTTGTTTTGGTTTCTCAAAAAAAAATATTTGGAGACAATATTTGCAAACTAAATAATGTGTCACCAATATGAATGAACACGTTTATCAATGCTTAAGTAATAAACCAATTATCAACTTTCATGTCCTTTAGTTTCCAAAATTTTGTCTACAAATTTAGTATCACTAGCATTATCCAAAATAAAAAAAGAAATAAGATTTCGATTAATGAGAAAGTAAAATGAGGGATGTGAACCTAATTTATCCGTAAAAATATCTTACGAAAAATAATAATTTTTTTAACACACGATATTATCTACACTAATTGGACGTTAACATACATTACAATTAGTCTACTTGGCAAAACCTAGAGCCACTCGGATCCCTAATTGGACGTGGAACTAATACATGTTTCTTTGTCGTAGTCCTAGTTTCCCTTTCATAAATTGGAAAGGCTTCCCCGCCCAAACCTTCGTTCTCTCCCAATCCAACAGTCATAACCCTTCCCCTAAGCTCCAATCCACCCACCCACCAATTCTCGCATCTTAACCGTCCGTTACAAAAAAACTGTATCCTTTTTCTTTTCACAGATGTGAGCCCCGCATTTAACAATGGTATGTTTGTTGAAATTAAACATTGTGTGATTGTAATCCTTGTTAGATTTGGTTTAGAATTTCTTTGTAATCTAGTGCTTCTTTTAAATTTGATTTTGTATTACTTGGATAACAAATGTCTCTTATGGTTACTATAAATAAAAGCGCTAATATAAAGAGAATATATCTGCCATTCCTTATTCTTTCTTTCTCTTCGTTTGCCGCACTTTCTCTCTCTTCAATAAATAGGCCACAACAATATTGTCTCTTTTCATATAATTCACATGCTTATACTGGTAAGGCTTACGTTACTCTTTTTAAAAAATGTTCAAACTCTCTCTTGTAACGTTTACGAGGAACGAGAGCTGGAATCTATCTAGCTTTGTAGTCTTGATTATTTTCTTGGCTTACCTAATCTTTTTTTCCTTGGCATCCAAACAGGTGGTGATGTTAGTACCTTCGTGGCTTGAATCCTTGTTGTCAACGACCTTCTTCTCCATCTGTGGCCGATCGCATAAAGATGGCCTGAGAAGCGAAAGCAACATGTACTGCTTAGATTGCAAGAATGGCGCATTCTGTTTGTATTGTAAATCATCAAGACACAAAGATCACCAAGTTATTCAGGTAATTAGGTATATACAAATTTTAGTTCTGGTTTTATTTATTTATTTATTTTTAAATTCAACTGTGTATAATTGAATTCTTTTTCTTTTTTGTGGGGGTGTGGATGTAGATCAGACGATCATCATATCACAATGTTGTGAGGGTATCAGAGATTCAGAAGGTGTTAGACATCGGCGGAGTTCAGACTTATATGATAAACAATGCGAGAGTGTTGTTTCTTAACCAGAGGCCTCATGAGCCTAAAACTGCCGTTAAAGGGGGCTCACATATATGTGAAATATGGGCGAGATGTCTCGGGGACCCTGTTCGTTTTTGTTCATTGGGATGCAAGGTTAGATATCCTGTTCTTCTTTTTCTTTTCTCAATTAAAGCTTAGATTAACAAAATTTCCATATATAATCAACTAGGACATTGCAATCTTATCCGTCATTGGTACTTGTCATAGTTAGAGTTCATTGTGACTAAAATGTGCAATGAATGACAATGTAGGCCTTTGCCAATGACAATTTGATATAGTTGCGATTAGTCTTTATTTTGTCGGAGGTAGTTCTGAGTATTCGATACTCATCTGCAAGAATTTGTTATGTTATTGAATTAAATAACAATATTGGTACCAGGTTTTTTTTTTTGTTTGTTTCAATTCGGTTGATGATGTTGACTCAACAATTAATCCATATATATTATTGATTTTGATGACATTAGCTCGAGGGACTAAAGAAAAATGGGGAAGCCAGCACAGTGAAGAAAGAAGAGGAGGGAAGAAAGGAAGGGAAAAAAAGAAGGTTACCATCGAAAGAATTAGAAGATCAAATGCAACAAGACATGCACCAAAGCACTCCAACTCCAACTCCACCACCTCATCCAAATTTAAGGAAAATGAGAAGAAAGGGCATACCTCATAGGGCACCCTTAATGTAAGGTTCTAATTATAATCTTATTGGAACTTGCTTAGCCAACTCATCGCTTACAAGTCCCTGCCATGCATCCTAAACATGGTGGGAAGCTGTGTTTATGGGGTTTTAAACAACTTAAAGTTGGGTTTGGGCACCATTCTAAATTGGGTGCAATAGTTATGCATTAATTTTTGAAACATGTAAGGTGTAAATGGCAACCAGTTACACTTGAACCGTTATATATATAAACAACAGCTCAGCTTTTTTTTTTTTTTTTAAATTTTATTTTTTAGATTTGGGATCAGATAGAAAATTGCAAAAAACGTAGGCTGTTGGTAGCCTAACCACAGAAAATAAGATAAAGAAATACATTTTACTATGTGTTTGTATTGCCACACAATATTACGATCTGGTAATATTCTTCTTCACTTGAAAGCGAGAGGTCATAGATTCGAATCTCGTGGATGTCAAATTTGATACCATATTAGGTTGCCCATTGTGTGACTTAGCCGAACTCCTCCTTCTCTTAGTGTAAAATTATATCAATGTACTAAAAAAAAAAAAAAAAAAACTATGTGTCTACCTGTATTGCATTCCTTAATCAGAAACGTGAATCTGAGTGCATAAGTAGGGAAAAAAAACATGGGATAACTGAGATTAAACACTGATGCAAGATTTTCATAATTTTACATGCTAAATTTTAATACTGTTTCTTTCTTCTCTCAGATAAAAAAAGGATGGCATTCATTCAAGTGGAAGAATCAACCAACAACTTGATGATAATCAATGAGACAATGTGGTCTTTGCTAAACAAAGTAACTTGGGAATTTCAATTAGCTATCGTTCGGCTAAATATAGGATTTACACAAAGTGCTACATAAAAGAGATGTCAAAACTAATCATATTTACAATATATGTACAAGTAAATAGGTAAAGAGCTATAGAAATAGGTCAATCATTAACATTATCTCTCAAGTTGTCGCAAAGATATTGCACATGCCTAACTTGTCAAGAATTTTGTAGAGCACTCTATACAAAATTGCCTTTGAAGAGCATCAACTAATTGACCTTTATTCTTCATAAAAGGTATTACGATAATCTCAACATCTTAGTTTTATACAAGATTGTCTTTGAAGAGCATCAACTAGTTGATCTTTATTCTTCATAAAAGGAATTACAATAATCTCAACATCTAAGTTTTCCTTAATAAAATGTCGAACAACATCAACATGCTTAGTACAATTATGTTGCACTCGATTTTGGTAACTCCAATGGCAACCTTATTATCACAATATCATGGCTTTCTTAGTCTCAAGCCCAAGATTTTTAACAACTTATTTAACTAAAGTAATTCACATGCACCGTGATTCATACCTCTAAACTCGGCCTCCGCACTTGTTGTAGCCACCATATTTTAGGGTATTCTTCTCAATGTAACAAGATTACCACTTACAAAAATTAAGTATACATGAGTAGACCACATATTCGTGGTTGAGCTAGCTTAATTTACATCAGTACAACTGCATCTAGGTGATGATGAAACTTTGAACACTAGTCCTTTATCAAGAAAACTTCAATCATGATTCGGGTCACAACATACAGTCGTGTTCCAATAGCTACATGCATGAATGAACTCGCCATAGTACCTGCATAAGTGACTTGATAGGAGACAAACGTACCAATCTCCCCACATGCATTTGATATATCTCTTTACTATTCAAAACTTGATTCGGGTACAACCCCAATTTGCGATTATGCTCAATTGAAGTCTAAATTAATAGGTTAATTTAACATGTTAGTTTATGCTAAAAATTCAGAACATTCTTTCTTTGAGATAAGAAGATGCCATATTTTGACCTAGTAACTTCAATCCCAAAAATACTTCATTCAACCTAATTCTTTTATCTTAAACTCAGACGCAAAATATTTATGCAAATGTTTCATCATAAATTCAAACGCAAAATACTTCTGCAAAATAACATATAACCAGTGTAGTTAATTTATCATTCCAACGTCTCAAAAACAGAGAATGAAACCACATCTTACTTAAGTTGTTCCTAGATAATTAATTAAGTTGTTTGTTTCAACCAGGAATCAAACCACATGTTACTTTACAGCTCAATGATCTCCAACATGCACTTGATGATGAGTATGGAGGATGGGTTAGTCGAAATATTGTGTAAGTTCCTAACTTTTATTGGTGAGTTTTAAATGGGACATGCAGAAAATGGGATTTGAGATGACCATGATGGACCAATTTTGTGGATGCAAAAAAGACTTCACTGCATATGTAGATGCGTACTTCAAAAATTTTGGGGATAGAGTTTTGCATTGGACTACTATGAGTGAGCGTAATGTTTTCATACCTGGGGGTTAAGATATTGGATTTCTTCCACCATAACGATGTTCAGCTCCATTTGGTGTCAACAGTTCGAGGGTTAACTCCTAACAAAGTCGTACATGGCAGCTCATAATATCTTGTTATCTCATGCATCAGCTGCTAGATTGTACAAGAAAATGTACGAGGTACTTGTCAAACTTTTCACTGTCAAGGGCTTCAATATGTCCTTAAAAACATAATACTCTTGATACAGTTTGATGTCTCACAAATCAAGAAGAAAGCAAATTGAGAGAGAAGAAAAAAGAGGCAAATTAAGAAAGAACAATAACTGCAATATTTGTTTCCCTCCTTTCGTACTAATTCTTTGTAGTGCTAGCTAACATGAACAAACAATAAGCAGGAAGAAAATATGCCTTAAAAAACTAATAAAATGAGAATCAAGTCTACTAGTAACCATATATGTAACATAACATTCTTAATAAAATTAACCTTATCATGAAAAAAAATAGGGAGGTGATTTTCACATATCCATTGTAGCTTTTCACAACAGTCTAGATTAAACAAGGTGTACAAGAAGCTAAAAATGGTGTGTGTTTATCATTCTCCAAAAAAATATAGGTCAATCAGTGTGAACAACGCTTTGGGATATACTGTAAAGATTGAAGAAATATTGATGAAGATCAAGAAAGAATTCTGCAAAAAACAAAGAGAGAGCTCGAGAGTGTTTGAGAGAGAAAGCTATATTTTCTTTAATGATCAAGTAATTTTTTACAGTGTACACTTATACTGTTTTAATAGTTTTCTAATCTTGCAGTGTAAGCTAACCACTTGGATAAGATTCTAACAACCTTATAACTATTTATTACAATCCTTATAATAACCTATTTTATCTACTGACATGTGGCTACATCTGCGCCCTTAATATGTTCTTCACTGGATCCTTATCTTTGTCACTCTTACATTCTCCCTCAATCTCATGCTTCAGTGAACTGAGCATGAGATTGCCACAATGTTGCTAGAATAATAGAGTAGATAACCGTTTTGTTAGAATATCAGCTAATTGATCAGCTGAAGATACATGTTGAACATGAAGATATCCTTAAGTAACATTTTCTCTAACAAAATGATAATCGATTTCAAGTGTATGAATTTTGCATGAAACACTGGATTTGTTGAAATAGCTATGGCGGAAACATTATCACAATGTATCATTGGATGGAGTATTATTGGAACTTGGAGATCACAGAAGAGTTGTCTTATCTAAGCTATTTATGCTACTGTGATGGTAAGTGCTCTATATTTAACCTTGGTTGAGATAGTGTACTGCTTTTTGGAAGCCCATGAGATAGGATTTAAACCAAGAAATACAACAAAACCAGAGGTTGATCATCTATCATTGGGATCTCCAGCCCAATCTGCATCATTATATGATTGAATGTATAGTGGTTCTAGTTTAAAGTGAATTCCATAGTCTGATGTTCCTTTAAGGTATCTGATGATTCTCTTGACTGCAATTACATAAGACTTCATCAGGTTATGCATGAATTGACACGCTTAATTTACTGAAAATGCTATATCAGGACTTATGAATGTAAGGTATTACAGTGCCCCAACAATGTTGCGATATTGATCAGGACCATGATATGGTTTGCCATCATCCCTGATTAGTCCGTGATAAGGAAGACATGGAGTAGCACATGGTTTATAGTCTTAAAGATTCATTTTATCAACTAAATCTTTCACATACTTTGATTGAGACAGAAATATCCCTTCAATATTGTAGCTCATTTGTAAGTCCAAAAGATAATTTAAAGTGCCTAAATCCTTCATTTCAAATTATGTTGTCAACTCTGTAATGACTATGGAGATCAGTTGTCAATCACTACTAGTTAATATCACATCATCCACATACAGTAATAGCACTACAATTCCATGTGCTGAGTGTTTGACAAACAATGAAGGATCTACATGTGATGCTTGAAACCCCAAACCTGGCAAAAAACTTGTGAATCTCTCATTCCAGACTCTAGGAGTTTGTTTAAGTCCATACAATGACTTTTGAAGCTTGCAAACATAATTGGATGGACAATTTGAACTTTGAAAACCTAGAGATTGTTCTATATAAACTTCTTCTTGAAGAAATCCATGTAGAAAGACATTTTTGATGTCTAATTGCTTGAGAGACCACTTAAATTAAGCTGCTAAAGCAAGAATAGGCCTAATTGTTGTAGCTTTGACAACTGGAGTGAAAATTTCTCCATAATCAATACCTTCTTCTTGACTGTAACCCTTAGCTATAAGTCTAGCTTTGTATCTTGACACCGAACCATCTGCATTTGTCTTTACTCTATATACCCATTTACAGCCAATAAGGTTTGTATCAAGTGGTAGTGGCACTAGGGACCAGGTTTGTTGAGAATGGAGAGCATCAACCTCTTCTTGCCTTGCTGATTTCCATTCTGGAATCTTAGATGCTGCTTTAAATGTCTTTGGTTCTATAACATGAATATGATAAGCTTTAACAGTGGCTGAATAGGCCTTCCTTTTAACAATACCATTCTTTGACCTTGTCTATATTGGATGACGATTCATATGGATTGGAAGAATAACAGTGAGTTGTTCCATTTGGAAATCAGGATCAACATGGATTAGTGATTATGTATAGGCATTGTATTTGGTGATGA